AAATTGTCAATCTTTGTTTGCAACTATTTCATATATATACATACATGTATAACAAAATCAAAATTTTATCGCAACATCAATCACAACAATAACTTTATTAAGTTCATTCTGATGCATTTGTTTTGATTCTATAATTCTCTAATTGGACGAGGTATGCAGATAATTGATTATAAAAATGCAGTGGGTTAGCAAAGCTATGATATATTAACATGCAAATAACATCAACACTATACGTTCATTCTCGAAAAGAATGAACTCACGATCCTGAGAAGTGTTTGCTGTAACGTTATGATTGTTTCCGGTCGTGCTGACTTCTTCTGTTTGTAACGTTTTCGGCTTTGTAGTTGTAGGTAATGTCGCTGCATCAAGTGATGAAAAATACGATAATTCTACTATTTTGAAATTTTCATCAAGCATTAAAATAATTGTCAGAGAAGAAGATATATTTTATTGTTGTATATATATATTTTATGCAAATGAAATCTCTAATCATAAAATACCGATATATTTTAGCACAACTTGAAGATAATTTTCCAATATTAAATGTAAAATATCAATTTTATTGAAACAAAAACAAATAAATCTATAAGAGGATAAACTTACTGTGCTCTTCTTGAAACGGAGTGATATTTTGGTGCCACAATTGTAACAGTTCGCCGCCTGTTAACAATCTCGTTCCTTCTAAATTCCATGATAAAGAAGTAATATTCGATTCTGTTTGCAGACTTCCTGTTTGAACCCATCTGTATTCTAATTGCTATAAAAAAAACATTTACAAAGATTTAGTAAAAATTTGTAAATGAGTTCTTAAATATATATCAAAATATGTAACAGAAAAATTATGATACAAACATGTGAACAGGTGCTGTGTATGAGCGGTGTCGGCTCAAAAATGCAGACTTGATTTTCATAGGCTGCAGCTATTTTTCCTGTGTCTGTACTACAGTCCAGACAACTAATCCTGATGTAATTGTGCACTGCTCCAGGAATTATTTGAACTCGTTCAAAATTATTGGCCAAAATCACAATATTGCAACCAGCTGCATACGCCTGAATAAATAAATCATAGTCAATCTGTTACTATTACATACTTTTAACTCTGTCTTCAAATCAATTTAAGCATTATCACATTATCTTATCAAATCTTAAGTTTGTCTTTCAGATATGATACACTATCACACTATTACTATCTTTGATAAAATCTTTTGACAACTAATTACAAGATATTAATAAAAAAGATTTTAATTTTAATTCCCAACGCTTCAAAAATATCAGATAAAACATGTAAAACAATAAAAAATATACATATTCGTCGAAGCAAACTAAACTCGTGAGACGTAAACGTCCCACGTTTGCAAGCCTAATCAAAGTGTCATTCGATCAGCTGACTTCCATAATGCGAGAGTGCGTATCGACTTTTACGATCACGTACGAAATTCCTTTGGCGATATTGGCGAGGTTGGCCGATCGCCAAGGACGTGACGTATCAAAGCGCGACCGTTATTTCATGGTAACTTACGGTGAAGGATATTCCCTCGACGGAACCGACCGCGTAGCAGCGGTCGCCCGCATTGCAGGCGCCGCTAAGTATCTGATGACAATTCATGGTATCACACGCGTCGCACACACACGCGAGACGTTAGATCATCGTTCGGCGGCGCGATCCGCCGTTTCGTCTGCGACCGTGTCGAATCTGTGTCCGGATATGCCGCCGATGTCGACGTCCGGGCGCCGCACGATCCGGCCTTGTCGGTCCAAGGTATCGCGATCCCCCGAAGAACGCGTCACGCGCCTAAGATCGACGCGACACGATGATCAGGCGGCCACGACGACGCGGCCATCTTTAAATGGACGTCCACACGAGCGACATCGTCGCTGACGGTCTCGTCTCCCTGGCCCTGGTGGCTGTACGAATGGCTGACTGGCCGACTCGCCGACTGCCAAAGGCGGCTTCCGGAGCGCACGCATGCACCAACGATTCGCAACGATTGCGCCGTCAGCCGCGCGCGCGTATTGCGAATTCGCGTATCGATATCCCCACGGAGGTGCTGACGACCCTGCGACGACTTAAGACGACTCCCACGTCGTCGCGTTAGTGAAAGATAGACGGGAATGATACAGATCGTAATATTTATATAATCACAAATTATGATCATAAGAAATGGACGATGTTGAAAAAAATAAATAGATGCCTAAATAATTATTTAAAAAAATAATACTTATCAAGTTATTACAATTTGTAATGTCTCGAAAACATCGACGATAATTGATTAATTTGTAATTTATTCTTTTATAGCTATTTAACATTAAATTAACGAAGGTCAATTACTTCGATATCATATTCATTAACATAGCAAGTGATTAATTAATTTAACAGGCAAAATTGCTTGCTGCAAAATTTCTAACATACACGCAAATTTAATATCTCTAATTTAATTTAAAATTTTTCATGACAAACAATTAATTATTTTATTGTTTATTTTATCTATATTAATAACAACTACGGATCGTTTTCTCTAATTTAAAAAGAATGAGTTTTTGTACTCGTTCTCACTTCTTTTTCTTCTTTTATAGATTGACATTGACGATTAGAGGGATCTGTTATTATAATTGTAAGTGAACATCGAAAAAATTGTAGAATACATTTCCTTTCATATTATATATGAAATATTAATTTCATATTAAATATTAATTGCAATATGCACATATCAATCAAATAAAAAGTTTAACTTCCAATTGTGTCTTGCAGGTACTACTTTGTTTTTTCTCTAAATTTACGTAATCTAAAGTAATATCGAGTTGTAGTAGATTTTGCAACAAAAATAATTAGCGACGCTAAGAGATTAACACTAGGAAAAAAAAGTTGAGTTTTTGTAGACGTTACATAGTCGCTTGTCGTACAGAATCGCTTTGAACGAGGCAGGTGAACAACACGTGTAACGTGCATGTCGTATACGCCGCTCACATAGGTGCATACAATGCCGTTACGGCAAAAGAAGAAAAATACATGTTATCTATAATCGAGCGGTGAGCTTCTTCGGAGAAAAAATTATTCACCGTGATCATATCGATCCTTTGTTATTAACCGCCTCTGTACTATATTTAGTTGTCTTTCCGAACCGACTTTCCATTAAAGCATAATCAGAGCGCATTGGAACGGGTACTCATCTTCTTTTTTTTTTTCGAATTACAGTAAGATAGATCCTCCCTTTAGAGGGGAGGAATCAAATTAGATCTGAAATCATTGTGATTAGAAGGAGGAAAAAGAAAAATTCATCCTGCAATTGAAATCGGCGTAAAACGATGACGCGGTTGCTAAACTGCTTATCTTACGAGGAACTGACACTTGGCTACGTGCGTGTCATTAATTGCGACCAGTTGACACCAATTATGAGACATACGCTCGCACTGTGTTCTTAATGATGTAACCAAGCGGAATGCGTAAAAAATGTCTCTGTAGCTCGCATTGTAAGGCATTGTATAGGCTTAATGTTATACGCTACACGATATTTCTACAGTTTAAATTTTTTTAAATACAAACTCTTTATATCGTAATATTTAAAAAAAACTATCAAACTAACGATGGAAAAGCTCTTTTTCTTTATCTTTGTCTTTACCTTTATCTTTATCGATCCTTCGTCATTAAATTATGTACCTAAAAGGAAAAAGAAAAAGTAAATGTTTTTTTTAATTATAAAATTAGTGCAACAACATCACAAGAACTGGTACATTTAATTAGTACTGTATTATTATAATATAAAATTATATTATGGAGCGCGATAAGTACAGCATTATTATTTCAGTAGAGGTAGAATCAACAAAGTATCTCTCATATACATTTTTCTGCATTAGACAATAAGCTATTATTAAATACAGGCATTTTGCCGTATTTTCAAAATAATTAAAACAAATATTCATGTATTACATATTACACTAAAAGCTTTGCATTACTTTATGATAGAGACATATTATTGTATAATACTATAATAGCATGATTACACGAAGCAAAAGCAAAGAGAACAAAATCATCTTTTTAAATTCTTCATCACACATATATGTACTAAATATAATATAATTAAATCTATTTTTATATAAGTATACAGATATATTATTTCCTTACAAAGTCTACAAAACAATAAAATAGAAAGAAATCCGTGGATTATAAATATTCTATTCTTCTGCAATGTTGCAAAATACACTTTTTCACTAATCGCTTCTTTATGGAGAATCTAACGAATGATAATCAGCGTTTGTATTATTTCCGCGATAATTCATATTACGAAGTTTCACCTTGTTCCAGTCGATTGATAGACTTAGCATATCTGTATAAGGGTAATAAATGCACGCGCATATGTATGCGCATGTGTACATATTCGAGCAGATAAGAGAGGTATAGAAGCAAAGATATAAAAATCTAATAGCTGTTTGACGCATGCTCCGTTTCAGGGTCTGGCTGTGGGCTGTGGGGTAATATCCAGTCGGGTAAGAGAGCTTCGTCTGGTCCGCGTCGATCATTACTTGACGGAGCGTAGAGCCCGTCAAAGACGCGACGAAAGAGAAGATGAGGGTTTACCGATTTCCGTCAGTTTTTCTTCGCCCCGTTCGACGTCGCGAATACTAAGGCATATCATCCCTATATTTCTACCCCGTCCATGTCCGTAAAGGGTCGACGAGTCCCCTGGTTCCGGAGGATTCCGTCGCAGCGACCGGCTGCTCGGTTCAGGATAGCTCGGCATCAGGTCCAGGCTTTTATAAGCAATTAAATAAACCCGGTCGACCTCGACTGCAGACTCGCCTTGAGCCGGCCTTGAACGACCTGCACCCACGTCATTGGCATCCCCGGGATATATACGCGCGTGTACGTAGAGATCAGTGTATGTTGCGTGTCGGTGTGCGTACGCGGTGAAACAACACACACCACCTGTGGCACATCCGTCTGCATCCGCCGTCGTATTTACGTCGGTGGTCTCTGTCATTCGTATTATTGCGTCGATTGGAAATTTAGCAATGATATCGTTCGTCTCGGCGACCGTTTCGAATGCCGATTGGATGCTGGGATCAAAACCGATGTAACTACGGTGAGTTCTACCAATGTGCGAAATGGATTAAATGTGAATAATAAATTAGATAGATGCATAAAGAATTCACAACGCAGATAGAACGTAGTATGCATTTTTTTAAACGTAGGCAATTTAAATAAACAATAACACAATATATTTTTTAAATTTTGTTTAAAATTAAATCTATTTTAATTGGAATAATTTTAAAAAATTGTGACTTTTTATCAGTCTTGTATCATGTGCTGTAGAATTACCGAAGCATGACTTTATGCTAGCAATCGCAATTTATCATTTACAATTACACCGTTCATTTGTATAATGAACTCATTCAATAAATACATAACTAATTTAAAAATATGAATAAAAATATTAACAATAAAAAGAGTTAAGGCGATATAATAATTATAAATATCATCTTAAAAAATTATAATGTAAACAAGATTTATTTTCATTCAGAAATGGATTTAATATATATCCGATCATTGCCATGTTTGTATAATATCGAAATCTGAAAACATCAAAATTGTATCGGTTTCAACCCTTATTTTTGTCAATCATTGATCAGTATATGCGCGAATGACTCGAAAACATGAGGGGTCGAACGTAGCAATATTGTTAGTGAATTAATATCAAGTCGATGATCACAGAGAGAAAAAGAAAAAGAGAGAGAAGAGGGAGAGAGAAAGAGATTATTCAATCTAAAATTATTGACTGCTGATCAACATATTCCGTATCGGATTTTTATCTTTTATTAAATTATTACACTCTATTTTTTCCTTTTATATTGAATTTTCTATGAGGTAATTAAATATTTGCAATATATGTACATAAATTAAAAAAATTTCGCACTTAATTTGCACAAGATTCTTGATTGAGAATAATTTTAATTTCGAAGGATTAGGGCACGAAAATTGCCGTCGATGATAATATGACCAAACAGATGTCCATATCGTTTCACTCTACTATCAATATGGATGAACACGAAAAGAACTTGATGACAGGAACATTGGAACAGAGGAAGGAGGCCTTCAAAGAGGATGAAGAGCTCATGAGAGAAACTACGAAATTTATCAGCGAAGTAATCGAGACGGCCGCTACAGAGGCTTCGAAAAGAAAGATTCAATCGGAGGTAAATAAACTCGTGATTTATTCAATTTATTCAACTAAAAAAGATTTGACAAGATTCGATGTCTAGATATCTGTTATTAAGTAGTTTAGTTATTCGTTAGTTAATCGTAAATTGCAAAAATAGCATATAGGTTGTAATAATTTTTTATATATATATATGTATATACTGAAGATGTGGGTCTAATTAAGATCGAAAAGTTTATATTTTATGCACAAATTTGTTAAAATTCATAAATCTATATTATTCGGTTCTAATTGTAAGATCTTGCGTAATGCATGCCCTTTAAAATATTGTTTTGAAATTTTAGCCACTTATCTTTGTTTATTGTTAAAAAAAATTTCACGATAGTAAACAAAGAATAATGAATTAATTATCATCACTGAAGCCAGTATTTATTATATTATGAAAATCGAGCAATTCAATATTTCTTTTTTATGTTTCAGGGAGCTGAAGGCGAAGGTAAGTACAAATCGGTCTTACATTCTGATTCTTACTGTTTAATTCTAACTTATGGGATTGAAACATTCTTAAATAACATTCTTGACTCGCGTCGACTATACGAAGGGAAAGAAGGTGGATATAAATAAAATGGTAAATATTTTATATTTTGGAAAAGTAGAGGAAAAAAAAGTAGGTAATGCGACAAGAGACAGATAATAGTTCAAAAGTATAAATGGCTAGATTGCTAGAGATAATTAAAAAAATTATAGATGTCGGTGAACACGTAGATAACAATTAAATAAGCATAATTTATTCAATACACACATATTTGAATTGACAAATAGAAATATGCTTGTGTTTGTGTAATATCTCTGTGCACAATATGGGAAAATATGAAAACAAAAAATGATTGTGTAGACACAATCAAGATTATAAATAAGATCGCTGTTTATATAAGCTAGACATTTTATTTATTTATAAGTTAATCATTTAATTTTTTATTAAATACAGTTATTATCTTGTTTTCTTTGACATTTTTTTCTTACATATTTTTTCGTGCCATCGCTAGCAACGGAGATATTTCAGATGATCAAGTTGGGTGGGACACCCCGTAGAGCTACTTGCAAAGTAGAACGGCGCAATTATAATTACCTTTTGAGATTGATATTTATAACATACATGGCTATTCGTGTGTGTGCGCAGGTAGTAGATTGAAGGGTGGCGATACCATCGCTGGCTGGAACAATCGAGCGCGTGGATTCTGCAATCGTATTCTGAATGCGCTTTGCCCATGCTTCACTAACCATGGTAAATCGTAGAGCGATTCATGTAGTGACTGCCGCCACGCTATTACCAGCCTCCTTTACAAACAAGTAGTTTTGCATCGCGCTCTCTCATCGTCATATCGCATCACCATCGATCAGACTGCAGACATCCTCCCATATATCACCTGCAGGTAGATGAAAAACTAGTCGATCACACCGATCAATTCGAATAGCGATCTATGCGATCGTTCTAATCCCTTCGCTGATTAATTAAGAACAATATTTTTGGTCTTTATATACTTCAATTTATTCTATTACCTCTCGTATGAAACAATGACCGATTGCCGTCGAATCGTTCGGTACTCATTCAGTAATCATTCAGTAAATCATCCAATTATTCGTTACGATCCTTCAGTGTATAGATGTTTGCAGCATTCATCATCAGACATTCTGTCTTGTTGCAACATGCTCTTACCTCGCAAGATCTTTCGACTGTCATGTGCAAATCCATATTAGATGATACTATTTTAAATTTCTTCACCTGAACATTTGTATAAATCAATTAACGGATCCATAGCAATCTGGCATGTTTCATCATCGGAGTAGTAAGCGCAACTGGAAACGGCAGCTTGCGTCGAAACAGACTGCAGACTGAGGATAGAGAGCGGAAGTTAATTATCAGTTGAAGGAGGAGGAAGAATACTTTATTTTCGAACACAAGCGAGCTGGACGTTTTCAGAGTGCATGTTAATTTTGCATCCCAAGCAGCGCGTAAAAACGACAACATTATTATAGTGACGTTCTCCGCGCTAGTACCACTTGCATGTTAAAAGTAATTAGAAGATGTGACAAGTTAACGATGGATACACAATGGATATGTGTTCTTTTCCCTTAGAACTGTTCGCCTGGACTCCGTACCGGTATCGCTTCACAAGACCTTAACCGTTCGATGACTCCCCGGATTTTCCGTTCCGTCGTGCGAGCTTGTCACAAGCAAACAAATAAACAAAATAGGATTAAGTTTTTTCCATTGTCAATTCGTGTCTTGAGTCGCGTCTCTCGTACAATTAAAGACATTGCGTATCTATCTGAAAATCGGCGCGGCTTTCTAAATCTCGCTTTCTAAATCTGGCTGAAGTAGAATACGTCGTTAGGGAAGGTATTAATTGTCATTAATTGCGTGTAAACAATGAAGACTACTGCAGTATGGTATATATAAATCGTCATTGTCGATATAAGCTCTGATTATTAATTTTCCTAGTGTCTTGTGAAGAAAGACGAGAGTTTAATCTGCTGTGGCTGCTGTGCAGCCGAGCGTGAAAGAAGCTATATTAGTGTTCAATGGCAGAGGTAACTATAAGTATAATTGAAAGTGGCTCATGTACTTTATTTTAAGGCAGACGCTTTGTAGAATAATTTGATAAAAAAAATACGGCAATAGTTGATTCCTTATTTTATTCAATTTAAAGTATATGTAATTTTCTTATGCCTTCCAATTTTATAAGTTTCTCAAATGAGCATCTTGGCAATAATGCCGCGTGACAGATAGTTCCTCTTGCATTCTTTGCAATATAAAACTTACTTTGATCTAACGTATAAAAATGGAATTTTTATATACAATTAAATATAACATGAAATATATCGATTTTTTAATGTTTTTATATTTTTCTCTAAGCTAACAAAATGATGATGTGTATATGCTAATTTTATATTATACAAAAGTTGAAAGATTAAATATTGGAATTTATGAATGTCAAAATGTAAAAAAGTTAGAAAGAGGTGATATATTATCAAGAGGTGTAAAAAGACGTGTATTATACCGTCGAGGTTTATGAGATGAATAAAATTTGACATATCGAATATTTTAAATTGTAAAAAGATTATATCATATTCTAAAAGATTATATCACGTGACATATTTTAACTTACCGGTTTATAATTTGTTAAATATATTTAAAAAGAATATACACGATTTTTTTCAATTAATTCAGAGATATTTACATCTGGTTACATCTGTTCAAGTTTGAAAGCGTTATCAAGCATAGCAATAATGCATGTGAATATAACTAGAAAAAAAATTTATATTAAACTATACATTTTACGTGTATTTATGTGTCATAGAATGTCAAACAAGAGAATTAGTCAAATGTACCGTGTTTCGTGATGTTGCCAATATTAGTTTTGGCTTGAAAATTATCAAAGAGAGTTTCGTTGCTTAGATAAGCAACCGTAACGCTATTGCTTGGCACAGGAGAACCGAATCAATACCGTTGGTATGGAACTATCAACACATGTATGTTATTATCAGAAATGTAGATGTGTATGAGTAGCATTATCATATTTATTTTACTCTTCCCGAATTTGCAAAACCTCGTTAAGATTACGGAAAAGATTACGTGGGCGCGAATTGCGTTGTACGTAATAAAAAAATTAATCAGTTGCAAAGATAAATTTCAATAATTAATCGATTACGTTTTCAAAACGCTGTGTTATTCGTACTCACATTGAATGTACCTGTGTCAATCAACATTAGATATATAAGCCGTTAGATATAATTGTACAATTACATCGTTACACAGGGTACTGCCAAAGAAAACACGATATACTTGCGATAGTAGCTTCCTTTGGAACAGAATTCAAAATTTTTTTCTCAATAAATACTATTCAAACTAATCTATGTTTATCCTGGAAAATTTGATTTTACAAACAATTAATTCGAAAAAATATCGAGACAAGCGTCCTCGACATTTATCCTTTTTTGCAGAAGTAGTTTGTGATATTTTCTACGATATGTCAAAGGAAAAGACAATGTAAATCGTTTACGGTTTATCCCTGTGTAACGTATCACTACCGCGTACGTAAACGGTGAGGACTATATTTCGACGTTGAAACATCGGAAAGGTGTCGGAAAGAAAATCAATATATCCACGCGGTCCTCGTTTTGGCTATGAATCGCCGTTGCGGAGCATACATATGCCGCCTACATATTTTCACTGGCAAAAAACTAACAAAAGACAAAGAGCGGGTGCTTTTCTCCCTTTAAAGCGTCGCCTTTTCGCTCTTAATCGTTCGTCTATATGTGCATATTTTAATTCCGATCGTAGTGTGCAAGGGGCATGCTAGGAGGTTGCGGGGGTCCAATATGTTTATTTTCTTGCACACATATACATATACACGTGCGCGCGCGTGAACGAACACACATACACACACATATACTTAGCAAATTGTCCCTGATAATTTGCTGAACTGAATTCTCGTTCGCATATTCCTGGAATAAAGAAAGAATTAATACTTCACGTTGCCTATTTAGATGTATAGAGGGATCAACAGTGTATTATGTATCAGAGACGAGTGACAATCAAATGTGTGTGAATTGTCGTGATATATGTACATATATATATATATATTATATATGCGTTATATAAATACAGATATATAAAATTTAATATCGCGATAAACTTTATATTTTGCGTTAAACTTTATATTTTGCGAAATATTCGATATATAAAGGAAATTTATTATATTGCATCGTTATATCTTCATATCTTCAGTGCTGTAAGTCGCAAGCTGGCGGCCATTGATAGATATCAAGCTATCAGATTATACGTATCATCGACAGATTCACTACACTTATGAAAGTATTATTCTGAAAACAATGTCACATATATAAATACACAATAAATATTTATGTTAAAAGGAACAGATATCTATCATTTTTTTACATCCTTCAGCTTTCATTTCTTTATTAAATGTATATTTCCTAGATTTTTTGTTTTTGCACAAATGCTTGTTTTTAATTATTTTTTGCGTTATCAATGCGTATTGCATTATTGCATTATTATACGTTAACAATTCTTGTATCATCGATAATTCAGTAAAGATATCGGATTATATATTCAGATCGCATTTTTACGATGTTAACGAATATTTAGTACTAGTTCACGTTACGTGTATACTATAGAATATAAAATTTCAAGTATAAACATGTATTTATCGGTAAAAGCGCGTTCTGAACACAGGCAAATACGAATTTATGTATACGAATTTATGTATACGATTGACGTAACACGTCTCTATGTATTGTGACTGCCATGGTAACGTAACCCTTATCAAGCAAGCGAAACGGTAAACGGTAAGTTGTACCGTAAAGGAAGAGGTTGAGTGATTTATTTTATATAGTGATATATTTTCTGTTCAAATCACATACACTTAATGTTCTCGAATTTACATTAGTGTAACAATTCTGATCAAAAAAAATAAAGATTTGGGGTTACACGATGGAGAACCTGCGTTGTGTACAAGAAAAAGATAAGGAAGAAATTATAGAGCAAGATAAAAGCGACGAAGGAATTGACATTTATAAATCGGCATCGTGCACAGGATTGACAAAGCAAAGCGAGGAGTTATTCGTTAGGAAATCTCGTAAAAAACATTGCGATTTGATGAAATCCACTTCCCACACGTATTGCCCAAATACCAAGCTTTTTAAAAGTTATCACGTGCATCGGAAGACTTATGATCGTTTAAAAAAATATATTAAAGATGAATCGGAGATTTTTAATTTGCCACAAAAATGTGAAGCTTCGTCGAGGTAAGCTACTAGCAGTTCGTAAAATATTGTTTGCTTCTTGCAAAGTATAACATTATAAATATGCTGTATAATGTTTGATTACACATTTCTATTTTCCATGTAAAGCATATATCAAATTTTGTAAAAAAATTATTAAATAAATTTAAAGCAGCGCTGTGGCACTAAAGAAAAGGCAAAAAATAATTTCTTCCAAAGATGATTATTATACGTCACTATGTCGGAAGAGAGCCGAATTTCGGATGCATCTGATCAGGAAGATCAAAGGACCGATGAGATGCAACGAAAGTTATCGCGAAGACGAGATGGAAATTTGTAGCGACTATGTAAAAGAGCGGATGGTTTTAGATGATGATAACGTTTGCGGACAAACAGCAGAAACTTTGAGCAACGTCGACGATATTGCTGACATTTGGCTCACGGAGGAAGACAAAAATCTCTTGAGGTATTACTACTACATTCTTCATGAGGTTGACGACACTCACGCAGGTACCTTAGATTCTGACACGTTAAAGAAGATAACGAGCATGGTGTCCGCTGAATGGCAGAAGAGATACAACAAATGCTTCAATGGATTGATTAGAGAATTAAAAAGTGACTATGTTACGAACATGAAAAAATCTATCGTTGACTTTGTGCTGCAGGAACCCTTCGAAAAGGAGTTCTTTGCTCCGGTAAGTATTATCGTATAAAGGAGCACGACTGGTCTCGTTCCATGACGTCGCGTCGCTGCGTTTGTCTTAGACCAATCACAGTTGAATGTGAAAAAAACAATCGACCATGATTGGTTAATTTCTTACGGCACGACATACGACAACGTCTCCCGACTGATTATAGACTAGGCCTTAGCACCGAGATACTACCGTGTCTTCAAATGTCCGCAATGACATATAATATATATGAAGTATTATTTCACGGGCAGTATAAAATTTTTTTGAGCGCCTGATGTTGGGTCGGCGTTCGACAACATGCCCTTTTGTCGATAATCCTATAGGTCGCTCTTCATACTCGATTGCTTCTTGCGATTACACATTGCAGCCGTTACTCTCCCGAGAAATCGCCGAATTGTTGAACTCCTTGGATCACTGTATTAAATATAAAAAAAGAAGAGCAGAATTGGAGAAGAGATCGATCATGCTGTATCACCCGTGCATACGCAAAACTTTAGATTACTGGTATCGCGAATATGGGTTAGTGAACTAAAATGGCACATAGCATCAGAATATCATTATACGTGAAATGATTTTTGGTCCAGTATAATCTCGTAATTCATAGAGAGGCCAAACAAATAGACACACGAGAGCTGACGTCGTACAGACAATCGTATGATCTTTCAAAATTCGATTACAAATTCTTAAGAATTCTTAAAGACACGAGCGACGATCTTCTCAAACGATGGTTACCAAAGATCTGCAATATTTTACTCATAGTAAGATATTCGCTGTATAACTTAAACGGTAGAAAGTACTTTTTATAGATATTAATTCGTACCTGATGTCGAAATCTTTACATCTATAGGCCTCGAAGAAGAGAACTCTACCATCCGCGAACAATCCGCAATATAATAGATTTTTCAATTGCCTTGCCTACGTCATGGAAGATCAACTGCGAGACTTGTGCTTACGTTCGATGGAAGATTATATTAATTATCTCAAGGACGTCGGTGTAAGTATATATTTTATAGACTTTGGTGCCCGAGATTAAAAATTTGTTTTTTGTATGTATATTTCGGTCCAATACATTAAATACAATTATTTTAAACAGTACACAAATTGTGGCTTTAATATAGACGTTGTGGTACGAAACACATCTATCGTTTTTGATCCTACATTCAAAACATTTG